TTCTGGAGGCAGAGTAATCCAGATGGAGGGGCTGGTGAGTGCAAAAGCAGAAAGGCAGGAAAGTGAGAAAAAGCAATACCTCACGGGGCACATGGAGGATGGCGAGAGGCCATTATCACGGAAGTGAAGATGTGGATTGGGACATGATCATAAAGGGCTTTGGAGGCCAGGGCAATGAGTGTACCCTTTATCCTAGAGGCCGTGGGGAGCCAGCAATGGTTCCTGAGTAGGGAGCTGACATAATCAACTCTCTAACAGATTTATCCACCACGCTGACCTCCAAACTCCTATTTGAACTAACGATGGGGCTGGGAGTCTCCCCAAAGATTAGATACAAGAAAGTGGTCTTCACAGATGTTCCCTGGAAGAAGCCTGGAGACTGGGAAGTGTAGAGGTGCCCAGACACACCACTCTGCCTATCTCATGGGCTGAACTGGGCCCTGAAAAGGTAGTGGGGCTCCATTCACACACGGTCTCTGTCCAGGAGTCCTGGCAGAAACTGGGAAGGGGAGAGATGGACCAGAGACCATACTGCCTGTGGAAATGGGGAATGTGAGGGAGGCAGCCCAAGGTCACCCTGCCCGGTGGCACCAGAGTCAGAGTGAAACCCAGGCTACTTGGCTCTCAGTCTGGCCGTGTGGTCAGAACCCTGTGATCTCAGTTGCCTGCCAGGCACAGAAAACTACAACTGTCCTTCTATCCCCCAGTATTTTAGAAAAGCCCAGGAACCCCAACCAAGAGTCAGCTCAAAGGGAGACTAAGTCCCTGTATCCTATTCTTAACAGAGGGAAGGGTGGCTAGGTGGGTGTCAGGCAGCCCTGGAGGAGGAGGGCGGCCCAGAGGAGAGGGGGTTTTATTGTGGGGGGATTTTTATCATACTGGCCTTACCCATCTGGGGGATCTCCGAAGTTTTAAGTATCTGCTGGCACCCTTCTCTGAGGCAGTGGAGACTGAGACATGGGATGGAGAAGAGAGTTCAGGACTCAGGGAAGGAGCTTGGAAATGGAGCCATATAGTCAGGAGGGGAAACGTCTGCTCAGTGGGGCGATTCTGACCCTACCTCCTCAAATACCTTCTTTCTGCTCAGGCAGCCAAGCCCTCTGTCCTTATGTGTGCTGTCGCTGTGTTAGGCACTGGCTGTGTGGAGAGACAGGGAATAAGCCCATGGCTCTGCCTCCACCAATCCAGGGCTACTGGGGCACAGAGAGGGCACTGGTGCCTAAGGAAAAAAGGAGGCCAAGGCCAAGACCAAGGGAAGGCAGCCAGGACGCTAAGGCCCAGCTGGAACTGCGTCTTAGGAACAGGCAGGATTCTGGCAGGTGAGGAAGGGAAAGGGATCTTTAATTCCAGTCTCAGGGATCAGGAAGGTGGGCAGAGGGGCCCTAACGACAGAGTTTGAGCTGCCCATCAACAGCGTTTGAGGTGAGGCCGTGGTTGGGCTTTGGGAAGGGAATTCTGACAGCAAGATGTAAGAAGAGGGGAAGAAGCCACCTAGACTCAGGCCTGGGTTTCTGGGCTTCCTCCTACTGGGCAGGGAAACTCCCTGCCGGCCAGTGCTAGGTCACAAGTGCAGTCCACGCAGCTCCAGCGCGCAGACAGGCAGCCCACCTCCCTCTCCCCCAATCCCATTCTCAGCGTTACACACAGAGCCTAGATATTTCCGGTTCCCCGCTATGCTCCCACTTACCCTCATCTCACCCTCGTCCCTCTGCTGGCACGCTGCTCTGCCCATTCCTCCCATAAAGAACTGAGGTTAGCCGTCTCTGGTGAACTGAACGCACAACAACCCTCCTGGAGTCACCTCAGCCGGGAATAACCAAGCCACCCATAGAGGGAGGTCCTCCTGCTCCCCTCCCCCCTCCTAGCCCCAGGACCCTACAATTCCGAGAGCCCCTTCCTTTTCTTATTCTTTCAACCTTGAGAATGCGCTTTGGTCAGGGTGAAAGAGGCCGCTGGTTAGAGATCTTGGGCACACTCCTGGCGAGCTTGGGCAGGCTCTTAGGGACTGGGCAGATCTGGGCAAGAGCTGAGCCCGGCACATCGAGGGCGCTCCACCAATGCAGACAGCCCACTGCCCCCTCCATCTAAGTGCCCTCCATCCTGCCTGAGGCTCAGCCCTCAGCGTGGAGCACCGAAACACCCTCGCCCCCCAACCCCGCCACGCCTTGCTGGTTGAGAAAATGTATCCCAGGTCTGCTGGTTTCACGTTAGGAGGGAGCAGAGGGCCCCGCTTCTCCATTCTCCCCTCGGAGCTGTCTCCCTCCCTCCTCGGTCTGCGCCCCTCGCCTCCTGGAGCGTTTCCAGCTTGCGGAAGGCCCGCTGCAGCCTCCTTCCGTCTGGTCTGAGTTCCCACTCTTGGGGGCTGTTCAAAGCCCCACTGCCCGCCACCCGTATGCCCGCTATCCCACCGCCAAAGCGCACCAACCCCTGTCCCTCCTTCTCCCACCCGCTTTACCGCGGAGCCCGGGGTGAGCCTGGGGAGCAGACGCAACAGATTGCAGAATGCGAGAGCGCGGAGCCCGCTCCCTTCGCGCGCCGCCCGCGGCCCCGGCCTGTACCGGTGCCCAGACCCCCGCCCTCCGGGCTCGCCTAAGCCGGCCATTTAGATGCAGCTCACAGGACCGTGGGCGTGCGAGCCGCGGCGGCTGCCCGGCCCGGAGTCAGTCCACTTCCCTTCCCGAGGACCGCGGCAGGAAGCGAGGCGCCGGGCGGCGCGGCCCCGCACCGGCCTGCGCGCCCGGGGCGGGGAAAGACGCGATACCGGCGGATCCCAACAGCCCCCAGGCTGGCTGGCCGCAGGGGGAGACTGGGGCGGGGGGCGGCCGGGACGCGATCGGGAGGATCTCTCGGATCCCTCTAGATTTCCGTGGGCGGACACGCCCCCAGACCCTCGGGTTCGAACCCTTCTTTATAACCGGGAGAGGACTGGAGCGACGCCCTCCCCCCACCCCTTTCCTGGTGCCGGGCTCGGTCCCCTCAGCTGAGCTCGCCGGAGGACTCGGGGGCTGGTGGTAACTCGAGCTGCAGCCCGAGACGCCAAACCCGGAGTGGCGGCTGCGAGTCCAGGCGGTGTGGGTGCTCTTCTCCCCAGTCTTCCCCGTGCCCCCTCCGGTGGCGCCTGCCGCATCCTCACCCCGAGTCCGCGCCGCGACACTTACCGTGGGCGAGCAGCGCTGAGAGGCAGAGCAGGGCGGCGCCGCCGCGGCCCGACATCCCCGGGGCCATGGCCGAGGCGGGGGCGGGAGGGGTCCGAGAGGGCAACAGTCGACGACGACTTGGCCCCAGGCTGGGCTTGGTCACATCCAACTCAGGGCGGCCGTGGCGCCCGGCTGTCTCAGATGCAGCTCCGGGGCCAGAGAGTGCAATTTGGGGACACTTTGCAGGGAGGGGGCGTCCCAGGCCCTGGCGGCTACACCCTCGGAGCCGGTGGGGGCGCAGCTCCGGGCGGGAGGAGCCTCCACCTCCCCCAGCTGGTGCCCCCTGCAGGATCTGCGAGGCGCGGGGGGAGCCGCACGTGCAGTCCCGAGCCCGGTGGCCGCGGGCGTCCCGGAGGCTACCTAGAGCCCAGTGCTGAATCTCCCGGCCCCACGGCCCAGCTCGAATCCGAACTCACTCGAGGGTGCAGACTTCCAACGCAAGCCCCAGTTTCCTCGGTTTCGGTAGTAACCCCACATGGATAGAGCCGCTGTCTTCCTCTAAGCCCCTGCAGCAGCCCAGGGTAAAAATCCCAGGTCAGGTGCAAATGAATGCTGTCTTTCTCAAAGAAAGAGAAAATCCAGGGAACTTTAATCCATCTGTAGAAGGAAAAGTTTCCGTGCGGTGCTGAGACTGGCGACGCGGGTCGCCACCACCCTAGGCGACGCCCAGACCGGATGCCCGAGGCGGGCGGCCAGATGTTTGTCCCCTCTGCAAGCCTCGCTCCTCGGCTCCAGCGCGCTTTCTCCAGTCTGGATCAGGGCCCGGGCTCCACACAGGCCAGGTCAGCGCCTCCTGCCCAGGCAGCCGCTCGGCGGTTGGGGCAAGGGTGGCGCGGCCAGAACCGGCTGCCCCATGTAGATGGGGCTTGGAGAAGCGAAGGAGCGAGAAAGCCGGCTAATGGCCCTGCCCCGAGCCCTTCCCGCCCAGGGCGTCGACTCCGGCTTGATGACCATAAACGCTGTAAGATGCAGAGGGGCTCCGGCGGCTCGCCGCAGCTTCGGGCCACCCCGCTCTCCGCTCAGGTCTCGCTGTCTCAGCAGAGGTGCGCGCTGCCCCGCCTCGCTCCTCGCCTTCCCTGGGGGAACCTGCACAAACCTTGAACTTTTCTGGGGTTCAGAGTCTCCGACGCCTCCTTCTCCCCGCCGCCCTCGCCCTGCCCCCGGACGCCCGCTCGCCGGTCGTCTCGGTGCTGCCGGGCATCGGCTCCCGCTCTCTCCGAGTCAGTTTGGGCGAGCGGATCGCCGCGCCAGTCCGGGCTGCGGGCGGTGAGAGGCGGGCGCGGCGCCAGGGGTCAGGGCAGCCGGCACCAGCGCAGCCTGCGGCCAGGGAAGCGGCAGCTGGTGCCTACGGGGCCGCGAGGAGAGGAGGTGCCGGCAGGGGAGCCGGCTCCCCATGGACGTGTGTGGGGGTAGAAAAAGAATCGAGGAGCAAAAAGGAAGAGGAGGTGGGGGGAGCCACAGTTGCACGAAGCAGCAACCGCCGCTGTCGCCGCCTCCTCGGCGCTCGCGCCGGCTGCTCCGCCGTAAATGACTCGAGAGGGACAAACACACTCGCGCTCGCCCGCCCTCCTCCTCCGTCCGGGATTCAGCGCCCACCCGGGCAGAAGCGGGCCCCGAGCTTGGCGCGCTCGCTCCCACCCCTCCCAGATTCCCCGTGGTCACGTGGGCCCGAAGCGCGCGGCCCACGGCTTGCGCGCCACGGAGACTCCCCCCACTCCTAGCTCCCCCTCCTCTGTCCACGTGTCCATTCCGCATTCCCAGCCTGGGGGCGCGCGCGGCTCCTTAATGAGACTCGGGCCAAGGGCCGACCTCGCGATTCCGCTCGCCCCTATCTTATGTTTGATTTTTCCTTCCCAACGCCTGCTAGCGCTGGGACCCGAATGGGGCTGGCCAGCTCCGGCAGCTGCGTTTCTCCAGGGCAGACGCCAGCGCAGTCACTGATGTCCCTTTTCAAAGGATGCACGCTCCCCACCGGGCGCCGGAGGTGTTTTGCAGCCGCTCTGCCAGAGGCGCGGGTAGGGGGCACCCTACACCCATCCCCAGAGTCCGCTGGGCACAGGCTGGGAATCAGCCTCGCTGCTGTGCCCAGCTCCTCTCGGGCTGCGGGGGCTCTGGGACACAGATTCCTGCGGGATGGGTCCGGGGCGCAGCTGTGGGAGACCAATTTATTCCGCTGCTGGGGAAGGATGATGGAGAAGAGGAGGGGACAGTGCTTTCCTACAGGTTGTTTAGCAAGCCTTTAAAGAGGCATGCCGTGGGGGTGGAGAACTGCCCCTCTTGCATACTCACCCAGGCACCTGCTGACTAGGGGGAGGGGTGGCTGGAGTGATATTTGTTCCGCTATCAGGCCCTTTCCATTAGAGTGCAACCTAGATCAGACCCGACAAGTCAACCTTCACCCCTCATCTGTCAACCAGGCATGGGATCCATGGCAGTGATTTTATAGCTTCATTGGGTATCAGCCCCAATCCCCAGAGGGTGCATTTCAATTCCACCCTACTCTGGAGGGACAGGGTCTTCAACCCCATGGGCATATCCCTACTGGGGAGGATATGGATCTTGAGGGTCACCCTTTTATACCTCTGCACTCAACTGGAGTGAGATTGTGGGGCCAGATCAGAGCAAAGCCAGCTGGGGTGCTCAAACCCTACCCTCCATCTGCCTGACTCCATGCTAGCCCTCTTGACCCTGAGAGTTTCCTTTCATCCAGGACAGTGACATTTTGTTTTTGGAAAATGTGTTTGCATTTTTCCTGGAAGCCTTCCTCCTCCCTGGCTGCTGGCTGTTGCTGCCTCGCTTGGTACCAGGGCCTATAGAGGGCTGCTCTGGCCCTTCCCCCACCCCCACATCTGTCTGAAGTTGGGGGAAGGTGCAGCCTAGAGACAGCTGGCCAGCTCTTGGAGGCCCTGGGGATAAAAGGTGCTGGAGTCGTCAAAGAAGATGATTCTCATTAGGCCCCTAATGCCTGATGGCAATTAATGTTGCCCAAGGGCTTATTCACCAACCCACTGAGAAGCAAGCTAGCAATCAGGCTCTGTGTTGGGGAGAAAGGGGAAAGATCCACCTCCTGAGGTAGGGGAGGGCTTCAGGAAGAGGAGGAAGGAAGTAGGGAGGGCCCTCCATCCATGCCCAGCACCCTATCAGAAGGGACATGGAGCCTGAGCATGGCCAGAGGGAAGAGATGAGGTGCTTTACCGAGCCCAAGACACACCTCACTCTGTGTTGTGGATCAAATTTCCTTTCTCCTCAAATGTTCCCAGCTGACGCTGGGGTCTGAGGGGCAGCAATGCCACCCCTCTCCCAGCTGTCTGTGGAAACAGCACGGTGTTCTGGTCAGGGTGAGCAGGGACTCAGACATCGAATTCTTCTCTCTGCACCCCCGTCTCACCCCACCCATAGCTCTTATGTGATAGGAAAATAGACCTTCCTTCGAGATTGTTTCTCCTCCTTCCTCCCTCCCTTCCTCTCTGTCTCTGTCCCTCCCTTTCACAATAGTACGGTGCATATCTCCAACATCACAGGCATTGTAGGTACAACAGTGAGCAAAACAAAACTAGCTCTTGTCCTCATGGAACTTACTGTCTAGAAGGGAAGGCAGACACTAAGCTTCTAATTGCCTGCAATTGTGGTGTGATTTGGCATCATGCACTTTGCCCATCTTATGGAGAAGACTGAGGCCTGTGGTTGGAAAGGGTGAGGGAGCAGCCTGCTATCTTCAGAGAATACAATTTCAGCCCCAGGTTCTTCCTGTACCTCTGATATGGAGCTACCCTTCCTGGATCGAAGCCGTCTGCCAAGTCAATGGGCCTGATGATCATCTGACTCTCCAAATGCCAGATTTTCCTCCTCCTTGCCTCAGGGAAGTGAAGGGCAGCCGATAGCCCACCTGAGGAATAAAATATGACTCCAACCTCTAGTGCTCCATGGACCTGTCATTCTCAGCAGTGTAAATCCTATGGCCCAGAGAGAAGGCAGTTGGCACAAGGTAGACAGCCAGTTGTTTCAGCTATTCCAATCCTGCATGTCATGTACCTGGAAAGGGGTTCTATACATTCCCTCTGCCTTTCCTACTACTCCAGCAGACTGCCCTCAGCCTTACCTATGAGTCCTAGTTATGGATTCCCAACCAGTGATGCCGCTGGAGCCTAGATAAGGGGAAGTCAGAGGAGCCACCCCAACTGGAGCCCAGGCTGGAGAAAGGACCTGGCATGTGTGTACTCTTCCATCCCAGATGAGCACCTTATCAACTTAAGGTGGTAGTGTCTCTGCTGTTTCCATTCTATTTGTGTCTTTCTGGACAGAGGATTGGCAATGGTTGGAGGTTATCTCAGTCACCAGTTCCCAGGTGATGCCTGGAACAGCCCTGTCCTCCTGCCAAGGAACCAGGCAGCAAGCAGGGTTCTGTCCCAGGCCCCAGTGCCCTGCATGGATGCTTATCAAGGACCCATATATAAACTGACACCCACTTCCTCCCATGCCTGACCTGCCCTCATGATGGGCCAGGTGACATCTGTCCTTCAGCATGCCTCTGTTTTTCAGAATGCCTACCATCAGGAGACAATCAGACGAGCCAATGTGGAGCATCATGAAGACACGTTCCTGGGATCACCCTGGAATCCTACTCTGTCTCAGCTCAAGGGGGTTCCGAGATTTCCTAAGCTAGCCCTTTCATTTTACAGCTGCAAAAATGGAGGCCTGTTAATTCAGTCATTTTATGAAATCCTGTGAAATTTTTATTGAGCTCTAATTGTGTGTGAAGCATTATGGAATGCTTCTGTACTGGAATGCATAGGTTGAACAAGACAGATAAGGCCCAGATGGCAGAAGTTCAAGAGCTTTCGCAACCTATATAGAGAACCTAGAAATATTAATGGCTAATCTTAATGAGTATGTGCTTTTTATGTGCCAGTCACTGTGCCAGGCATTTTGCATGCATTATCTGAGTCCCCACTACAACCCTGTTAAGTAGATACTGTTATTATTACCATTTTCCGATGAGAAAACTGAGGCTCAGTGAAGGTAAGTTTCTTGCTTAGGGTCATAGAGCTAGAAAGTAGCAGAATCACAACTCAAAACCACATCTATGTGATTCCAAAGCTCAGGTACGTAACCCATTTAGCCACTTTCACTCTGATATGCGAGGGCCCAGGATTTCATATATGACAAAGCTATCATTTCTGGGTGGACATGTTTATGGGCAGTGGGGTACCAGGCATAAATAGGCCATTCAACACGGGGAGGGCAGTGTGTGAAGGAGGCCAGCACAGGGGCCCTGAGAGCACAGGCACCTCTGATGAGAAGGTAGTGTGCTTTCTGCAGTACTGTTCTGAGCAGCTCACCCTCTTGTTCCCCTTCCCCAGTACCCAGATTCACACCTATATGCTGTTGGACTTTAACCCCATTTAGTACACAGTTATGCATACACATGGCTATTGTAGCAATTGTCCAGCCTTCACCATGCAGCTGGGCTGCTTTGCCTTCCCCTGTAGGCTGAGCTCCCAGCTCAGATTCCAGGACCAATAGCGAATGTCAGCAGTGAAGGGCAGGAGAATGTCAGCAGTGAAGGGCAGCGTGGCACGATGGCCAGCACATGGTTTTGCCAAGCAGAGACCTGGGTTCCAGTCCTAGAAGGCAAGGCAACTGTATCAGTTTGCTCATGCTGCTGTAACAAAATACCACAGACTGAGTGGCTTAAATGACAGAAGTTTTTTTTTCTCACCATTCTGGAGGCTGGAGTCCAAGATCATAGTGCTGGCAGGGTTGGTTTCCCCTTAGGACTCTTTCCTTGGCTAGAAGATGGACACCTTCTTGCTGTGTTTTCACATATGGTCATTTTTCTGTGTTCATGAATCATGGTTTATCTTCCTCTTGTTATAAGGACACTAGTCATATTGGATTCAGGCCCCATGAAAATGGTTTCATTTTAACTTACTCACCTCTTTTAAAGACCTTACCTCCAAAGATGGTTGCATTCTGAGTTACTTGGGGTTGGAACTTCAGCATATGAATTTTGGAGGTAGAAGATATATTTGAGAGTAAAAAGGGGTTCTGTTAACCCATTTATGCCTGAGGTTGCAATTTTTTGAAGTTTTGCAATTGGATTTTGGCAATGACCTGGAGCAGTAGGATATAAATAATTCCCACATACTTAGCATTCCAATAATGGAACACTGGGCATAAATGGGCTAAAATTACTTTGGAGCAGCAGTCTTAAGTGGACCATTTAGGGCAAAATGGAACATAGGGACACCCTAACATTCTGGCCCCATCACTCATTCTACAGCCTTCTTCTTTTAAACCACCACACCTCTCTGAGTCTCAGTTTCTTCATCTGTTGAATGGAGATAATCATACCAACTCCCCCAAGCAGGCACTTTAAAAATACTAGTAAATGTATACTGATTACCTGACTGTACTGAGCACCACTGCATGCTCTGTGTAGGTTAACCATTGCTATTATTGAAACCAAACTGCTCAATAAGGTTTACAGGCCTATGTGATTTGACCCCTAGCTGCTTTTCCAAACTCATTTCTTCCCCATTTCCCCCTTCTATTTTCTTACACTGGAGCCACAAAGGCCACCCTGCAGTCATGTATCAAGCACATTCCTGCCTCAGGGCCTTTTACTTGTTTTTCCCTCCACCTGGAATGCTTTTCCCCTAACCCCTTGCTCCTTTACTTAATTCAGGTTTTTGTCCAACTGCTACCTCCTTGGAGATACCTTCTGAGGTATACGATGAGTTGATACAAAATAATGCAACTATTGTTCTACCTCCATTGCTTTATTTTTTTATGCCACTTTAATTGGATTCATAGCAGTTGGTATTTTACTTTATAATATGCCTGTGTATCTGTCTCTTCCGACAGAATGTAAGCTCCCCAAAGGCCAAGATTCTATATGAACCATTCACCAATGTATCCCCAGTGCCCAGAATGGTGCCTGGTATATGTGCTCAACAAAATAAACTGACTAGATTATTTATCCATATTCACTGACTTCAGTAACTGGGTCTTTGATTTTACCCAGTCCCAGTAAATGGGTCTTGGGTCTGTGTTCCCATAAGGACCCTGCCTGGCACCTCACTTCCGTGATCTTCCAGAGCCTGGGAGCCCACAGCCCACGCCCCTGATGCTTCTCTTGGCAGTCCCAACTCTTACTATGCCCTTTTACTTGCTGAGGCTGGAGTTCCTCCACCTGCCATGTCAGCCTCACCCTGAGTGGTAGGGTTTGGGCTGGGACCTCAGAGCGCTGATTCTTCCCACCACTTCCCACCCCTACCAAATCCTGCAGGACAGAGGCATCTGCATCTCCTACCATTCCCCAACGTGACTCCTCTGCTCCAGCCAGGCCAAGCCGAACTCCCTGCCACCACCATCATGAGGAATGCTCCTCTTCATGCCAGCCTCATTCTTCCCTCCCCACCTTTGTTCCTGCTCTACCCAGCTTCCTTTGTGCTCTTCTCCACCAATTAAAATCCTGCCTATCTTCACATTTCAGCTCAGGGGTCTTCTTTATGAAGTTCGCAGACACATTGCAAAATGGTTATACGTCCTCATGGAAAAAAGGAACAAACAGAGATTTTGGAATCAGGCAGAGTTCAAGTTCTGACCACATTTCCTTCTGTTTAGTTTCTCTCTGCACCTTGAGTGCCTAGTCATCACTACACAGTAAATCCCCCCTGCGATGGGGTCATGTTCTCATTAAGATTATTGCTCAAAATCCACCCCCTTGCTATTTTTGTAATTAAGAAACCCAAGGCCCAGAGAGAGCTAGTGACAGGCCCAAGTCCACACATCCAGTTACTGGCACAGACAGGAATATAACCCCATGTAAGGATATGCCTGGCTCCCTGCCCCACAGTGTGCCCATTCCCAAACTTTCACTGCCTGGCTCAGCCCTGTCTTGGACTTGGAAACCCATCTTTTCTTTCCTGGAGAGAATGAGGCTCCTTGGGTAATTATTTCAGGGATTTGTCCCTGATGCAGTGCAGGGATTTGTCCCTGATGCAGTGTGGATGCTGGACTGAACCAGACCTTGGACTCCAATTCTATCAGTTGCATTTATGTACTCATCCAGTCATTCAGCCTCACCTTGGACATTTATTCTTCTCTGAAACCTTCCCTGACACTGCCCACCCTCCCATCCCTATTCAGTTCACCTGTAAGGCCCTGTGTCTCCCACATCTAAGCAGCTTTCAGATTGTGTTGATTTGCTTGTCACCTCCCATAAAGGGGAGACCCAGGAAGGCAGACACTATCTGCGCTGACCCTTGTCATATGCCCCTTGCCTGATGTCTGTTGAGTATTCAGTTAATGGCTACTGACTAAGTGAATTATTAATCACCTACTGTGTGTTTGGAGCTATGCTAGATGAACGAGATGGACTCTGCCCTCAAGGAGTTTGCCACTGTGTGGGAGAGGGAAGTGGGCAGACACATAGGATTATGATGCCCAGTGGCAGTGGGTGCCCTGGAGGGAAGCACAGGAGCCCTGGGGCTGGAATGAGGGGCATCTACTTCAGCCTAGGACATGGGTGCTGCAGGATATGGGAAAGCTTCTTGAAGGAGGTGAGTTTGAGCTGCACTGAGGGAAGGACAAGCTGGTTTGGGGAAGTGGGGAGAAGAAAGGGAGGGAAGGAGGCTGCTGCAAGAACAGAAAACAACATTTTAAAGCCTGCATCCGGGGAGGACACAGTGTGATCAGGAGAGAGTGAGTGTTTCTGCATGGCTGGGGCATTTGAGAGCTGGGGCAAAGCTAGGAAAGGGGCTGGAGAGGAAGCAGGCCCATTGCCTCTGTGCCCAAAGATACCTGTCTGTGGTGACGTGCACGCTCGTGGTTACTATATTCAGTCATACAACTTCACACGTTTGGGGCCAAAGACACTGGGATGCTTACGAAGCATTTTATCAG